GGGGGGAGCCGCATCTCTCTCTCTCTCTCTCCCTCTCTCCCCCTTTGGCAAAAACTCAAATACAGGTGTTGTCACACATCCCAATCATCATTTCCTTCCGTCCTTCTCACAACCACCTTGCCTTTTTGCCGACCCAAATCTGTGTGCGTGTCCCTTCGTGTGGGCCTTTGTGTTTGTGTGCGCGTGTGTGTGTGTGTGTGTGTGTGTGTGTCTCAGCCTGTCACAGGCGCACAGGGGGAACAGAGCTCATCGTTTCTCAGGGTGACACGAGCCTGACCGCACTTAACTGGACTGACGGACAGGAACAAGCTGCCCCCGCACACCCGCCGCGTCCTCGTGCCGCTGTGTTTGTTCGTGTGTCCGCCAGTGCACGTGTGTGTGTGTGTGTGTGTGTGTGTGTGTGTGTGCGCTTGACAGAGATTAAAGAACGATCACGGGGATGATATTCTGGACACCAGAGGCCTGTTTTCTTTCCCTGGCTGCCTGCCTGTCTACCTGGGCAGCCTAATGACCTGCATGTCTGTCATCCCTGTGTGTCCGTCCGTGTGCGTGCGTGTGTGTGTGTGTGTGTGTGTGTGTGGGCGCGCCTGCTGGCCTCAAACTCTGAGGCTGCGCAGTGCTGCCGTGACATTTGGGAAGTGAGATCACCAAAGTTCCTCTTCTGGGGGATGAAGGAGAGAAAGGAAATGATCAAGTCAAACCCAACGTGAGGAAAAGACACATCCCTCTATTTACAGTTTTGAAGGTGGCTTTAGGGATCTGTACTGTTTGCTTTGTAGAACAATGTAATTTATTATGACTGTAGAAAGGTAGGTGGAATCATTTCCTCAGCGTAATTGTCAAATTACTTTATTATGGCACATTGTCTCAGCCCCTCTGCGACAAAGTTGTCTCGCTCTATGTGTCGTGTCCAGTATTCATTCTATGTGTCTCTGGGTGTCCCTGTCAATTAGCCCGTGCAGACGCTGACTGGACGCAGAGAGTTGGTCCCTTAACTAAGTCACAGCGAGGCCCCCCATCACTTTAAAGTGAGCAGTGCCAAGCTTCTTGATATCGCGGATGTTGAAATGTAAAAGGAAATATAACTTCCAAAGGGAGAATTGACAGCTGAAGGGGGTCCAACACCAGCCAATCTAGTTTTGAACTTCTTGTATGATTCTTTGATGTTGTAAATACACAGATAATAATACACAGATACAATCTCATCACACCTCCCGCAGGGAGAAACACGTCTGAGCTGCAGCATCGCAGCGTCTGGTCCCCATCTGCTCACCTACGAGAGAGGTCCTCTGTGACCAACGTCTTCTGTAATATTGGCGGTAAGCCATCAAACCTCTTTCAGTACTCAGGACCTGATATTTCTGTTTACCTTTTCTGGATATTAGCAGATAATACTCCTGCACCGTCATAATATCTTACATTGAATACACTAGATTGTGGTTTACGCCAAAGGTCTTATTGTGCACAGTTACTGCAGAGGCTATGTTGTATTTGTCCTGGCAACACATGTGCAAATGTTTATTTGTGCTAAAATGATAAATGCACTGAAATGTTCCAGGAAGCAGCATTTAAACATAGTCTACAGTGTTGAATGATGCTCATGTTGTGGACAACGTTCTTTCTAGCAAACATGATGGCTTGCTCTTCATCTGGTGTATTTTAATACTTCAAATTGCAATTTATCAGTGGTGTAAATGTACTTGTGTAACCTTTTTTAAGCTCTGGTGTAATTAGGGTCTTCTGAAGTACAAGGAATAAAGAAAAAAGGTTGGGTTGCCAAAACATAAAGGAGTGAATCAACTGAGTTTTATTCCTCATGAATCCCAAATTTGATTTGTTTCAATTTGCTGCGTGCGAATTTTAACTAACATTGCAACAGATATTTTATGTTTTATAACTCCATCGATTTTATTTCAGAAGTACCATATACAGTACTTTCCAAGATCCAAATATATTAATCAAAGATATTCCGTGTATGGAAATGTAATCAAAAGTGCAATTTTTCTGAAGGTATCAACCACATTGTGAAGAAGGTAATGAGAGCAAATGCGAATAAAATGTGATGCAACATACATAGAACACGCGCGCACACTGTGAAGGAAGGGAAATCATAGGAGAAATCTCCTGTCTAGGAGCAACACCCACACACACTGCTTCCCGTAAGGAGACAGCAGCGGTCTTCCAGAGAAAGAATGTGACACACATACAAGCGCACACACACACACACACACACACACACACACACACAGCGAGTCAGGTAAGCACAGAGGGATCAGGGTTAACCAGGCATCAGTGGGATGCGCTGTCTGGTGATCGTTCCCTTCCCTCCTGAGGCCCTCTGGCAAGCGAGGGTCTCGGAGTGTGAATGTGATTGTGTGTGTGCGTGTGTGTGTGTGTGTGTGTGTGTGTGTGTGATGGGAGGGGGGGCTCATGTGAGCATGCAATCACATTTTGTCATATTTGGCCCCGGTCTGCACAATATGTCTTCCCCCCCCCCCCC